AAAAACAGCAACTTACCATGACTACATTTGCCAAATGCGCTGAGACCAGGGCGTAAACTCCCCCGGACGACCCGACCACTGGAGCCGTCATGTCAGTGACGGACACAGCCAGAGAGCCTGCAGCGACGACAAAGGCCACACGTCAGTGCACTTGCTTTTGCCAAATTTATAAACAAAAGACGACATCCTTGTGTTGTCTGAATCTTGTAAAAACCTACCGGACACCCAGGCATTCTCCTATTTGCAATGAAAATTTGTTAAAACCTTTGTTTAGCAATCACACTGCTGCTTTTCTTTTTTTTTTTTTAGCGTCGAGACTAAATTTGCAATCATGAATCATATCATCAGGGAGTTTGAGTGTTATGAAATAAAGACAAAATCTGATTTTATTAGATAACAGGTTCATTCTTGAGCACAAAACAGCAGTTGAGAAAACATTCCTTATGGCTTAAAAAGTACATATCTAATAATCCAATCTATTTGTCTATCAGTTGAAAAAAAAATGAACTCAGCTTTGAATAAAACATTGTGGCAGAGAAAAAAAACTGTCATTTTACCATCAATTACTCTGAGCTGACAGCCCAACAGTTGCCTATTTATGCACCCAGCAGATGGGAAATAACATTGGTTGTGTTGGTGTCCACTCAAGTCCAATATTCACTCTTCTTCCAGCTCCTGTGGGAAATATTGTGCTCCTAAGCTGGTAAACGCTCCACTATATTCGCCACTGCATCTGTCATGTGGTGATCAGATAATGTACAGTGGGATTACGGGAAGTTTTTATGCTGAAAACAGTTACCTGATGCTAAAAATGATATGTTGACAGGGGTGATGGTGAATCAGGATGCCGTGAAAACAAGACATTGAGCTGAAAGAGGATTAAAAAAAATGTTGAATTGTGATTTCTCTGCTGGTTGTTGTCTTTTCTGGACACTTTAGGCACATACATAATAAAATAAAAGTAATTATCCTACGTTATTTTAAAATATTAATTACAGTCGCTTTAAAGTGCTCCAAAGAATGGAAATTTGCATCAATATTAGATTTCTTCAGCCTGTTAGTTGGCCCTTTGGAGATAAATGGATGCATATATATTGCAAAATTTGCTATAATGGGATACAATAGTTAATGACACAGTGCTGTGTTTGTTTATTTGAAATAGGTCGCGTGTGCCAATTTGGAGTCGGCGCTTTTACTATTCACAAGAAAATGTGAATATTTCTTCCCTTAGAGGGTCATGCAGACAGACACCGTGACTAAGTGACTAATTTAAACTGTTTTTGTACAAGCTGTGACCATTTGCGCAGTGAATGCATCCATTCTGAATGGCATAAAGGCAGCTTTGCTACTTGCTATTTAATGTGGGTGTATTATAAATAGGCGAGCAGAGGCTTGCTCATACTGTACCAGGCGCACGCTGCGATTTTATGTAAAACAAATACATTCACACAAATTGGACAGCCGCAAACAGTGAATTGCTCTCTTTAGCACCTTGGTACCGATTCATCGCATGCACAAAAGATCCAATCGAGCATAGAAAAGTTTAAATATGGGGGGGGGCATTCAGAGGCAGACATTTGTTCTCACTGTAGTCTCTGTGCAAGAAACAGAATAAAAGAAAAAAAAAAGAAGAGACATGTTTGGGTGGACTATTAAATTTCCCACAGAAAACTCTCTCCTTCAGCCTTTTGCTTGTTTTTCCTTCTTTTCCTCTCTCTCTGTCTGCATTCACTCTCCGTTTCGCAGTTTATCTTTTGCTTCCCTTTCGCCCCACAGCACTGATCTCTGTACATTATTGATGCTAAGTATATGAGACACAACTGCCCACACCACAAAAGAGAGCATAAGGATCTGTTGATAAACGGTCTCACACTTTGGCTACTGTATGTTCACCCACTCGCTAATTTTTTTCTCTCGCAACACAAATAAACAATTTCTGCACAACATTATGCATGCATACTGCAAATTAGAACTGTTGTTATAAATATGCAGACTGTGGCGACCACTGCCATTCATTGCTTCTTTTAAACTCCATTTGCTATCTTCTCCAGTTTAATAGATTTTTTTTTTTGGTGGCTGCAGATGGTGCAGACGGATTTTAACAGGCATTTGAGACCCAGCTGCTGGAGTGGGTCATTTTATTGGCTGTGCACTGTCCATTTATGATGTTGATTAGAGTCGGGATCACTTTGGGACAAGCGGTTTCAGAAATTCTCTCTTTCTGTTTGCAGCAGGAGCACATGTTTTATAGGTTTTCCTGCTCAGTTGGACCCCAGTAAGTCCTGTATTTCATGTGCAAATAACAATGTTTTATCAAAATTATGAATCGTGAGTGTAAACTGTGTCCAAAAGCCCCGTGTTCCTTTACAATATGTACAGATCCTTAGAGTCACGATCAATTATACAGCTGAGTATATGCGTAGGTGAGCACTTCAGCAATCCTTCGTTTCCCCAGACTTGACTTGCATTTCGTCTGTAAAAACAAGACCTTGAAGAGATTCTAGTGCGAGAACATGCCGTATTTCTTCAGTGGTACATAATCAAGAATAAATGTAAACAAAGCAGGCTGGCTCACTGAGCAGTGAACCTCGTTTACACATTTAAACCCTCTAAAATCTCTTACATGTAAAATCAACCTGCTAAGCTTAAGCCACACTCGGCTGACCTCATAAATGTGTACATTACTACATTTGTGTGGTGTGGGCGATGCCAACTTTCACCTTTGTGTCTTTCTAACTCTGTCTCACACTCACACACACACACACACAAACAATACCACTCCATAGGCATATTGTACGGTATGTAATTACAAGAGACGGAAAAGGAGCTGGATTTCAAATCACCATGAGGAGCTATGATTGGATAAGCCACGGTATTTCAATCATGATGCTATTTATGGAAGGCGAGGACAGCGTGAGGTCAGTGAAAACACACACACACACACACACACACACACACTGGTCCATGCACACAAGACAATGTGTTACTATTACAGTAAAAAATTTATTAGAAAAGCAAAACTTCCCGAACACGGTGACAGAATGAGGGCACTGTAAGGACAGCAAGGGAATTCAGATGGTTTTGCATCCTATTTGAAAAGTATGTACATATTCTAGTGCGTGTGTGTGTGTGTGTGTTTTTATTGTTTGTGCAACACTAACTGAAATAAAGTCTTCACACCGAAAACACACAAAACTGAACAACAGTGCGACTAAACTGTTGCATGACAGAAACTGACACTATGGAGACCTATTGTAGCTGCATGCTTTCGATTTTTAGATGACGAACAGGAACACAGTTGTGTAACACAGCAAGGTTAATAATAAATACAAGTTTCAAGTTGGAGGGCAAATTGCTCATGAGGTGTTTACAAGTTTTCAAACCTGCGCTGAAATGCTACGAAACTCTCATGGACAACCACACATGAGTTTCAAATCAGCACGCTGGAATCCATGTTGTCAAAGTCACATGTGATTAAAAGAGAAATGAAAGGACATTTGAAAAGATGGAGCTGACATTTAACACCAAACAGGAGCTCCTTCTTTTCCCTAATGTGTGGCCTCCTCAGGTGTGAGCATCATAATGACAACACAGCGCCTGACTCACCAAGTCATTAAATATTGCATAGTAATCCAAGCAGCCGGGTAATTACTCAACAACACACACACACACACACACACACACACACCAACAATTTTCCTCTCAGTCATACACACACAAAAATCAATTCCCCAACAAACTAATTAAACATTTCTTGTGTTAATAATGCTAACTATGAAAAAAAATGACATGAGCTTGAATTAATTAAGTATAAACTTCAACTCAAGCATCACAATTACATCTGATTGTCACCTCCCAAAATCTAAATTAAACGGCAATATTCAGACTCTTCAGATTACACCCTTGTCCCTTCCTCCACACACCCAGACACCTGCTCAGGACACTTCCACCTCTGTTTGGAGTTTAGGCAGTGTGTCTGTGCAGGGTGACCTCCATCCCTGTAATTACCTTGGTTTAATAACATTATTTTAGCACTGTGGCTGCACACACACACACACACACACACACACACTCATACAAGGACGCAGCCTCTCTCAGTCCCTCAGCAGGCCCCAGGAGGCCTGTAGTTTTTAGAGTCGAGAAGCGGCATCTCATTTTTCTTGGCTCTTCTTTCAAAGAGCAGAGAGAGGAAAAAAAAAACAAAAAAACGGGGACATGAGGGGAAATAATTACGTACATCAGTGCTCATAATGAGGGAAAACCAACAGCTTAGCAGCACATTGAGCTGACTGAAGCTACCGAGGCATTACAGTGGTGCTCTATGTCCTTTGTGAGTGACCCCTCTTGTGTATATATATATATATATATTTGTCTCTCTCTCTCTTGTTTTTTGTCGATGAGTGGTTTTCCTGCCTGAGGTTGCCCGGGTTGTTATACACTTGTTCCTGTCTGTTGCTGCACCTGTCTTCCAGCCTTTGTACAGACAAGCTGCTGCTTTTATTGTGTCTGTACACTTGTCTCCCATCCATAAGAGAGTACTTTGTGTGTTTACATGCCAGTCTATTGTTTCCATTAAAGTGTGAGCATGTGTGTTGGCTCTAGAGGGTCACAGACCTTCCTCTGAGTCATTACTTGACCTCTGGCCTTTGGCTTGACCCCTCTATGTGCCAGCTGAGCCCCTCTCCATTGCTTGACATATTTATTCCAACAGTCTGACAGTCTAATTATGTAGCAAAACAAAAAAAGTAGTCGCTTGTGTTGTAACTGATAACTTGCAGTCTAGCACTTGTCGAATGTGAAGGATTAAACTTAGCAGTTTGTGTCCTTAAATCATTGAAAGAAACATAAAGTTATCAATGGATAAACTTGCTTGAGAACTTTTTTAAATGTAATATTCTCAGTTTGGCTTTACACAATGAGAAAAACTACATTTATTAAATGCAAAGTTATGAACTTATGACATTTAGGCTGATCAACAAGCACTTACAAGGTATATTGTTGTGGCTGTGCAGAAGCTAATATTGTAAATCCAGTTACTGGGGCGACATTTCTGGTGCACCAGTAGCAATACGTTTCATTTTAACTAGCAATGATTGGCTTGACAGAGCTGAAGAGGGGATCAACCATATAGAGACTAAGTAATCTACAGCAATTATATAAAAGCATTGTGGAGCCTATGGCAGAAAAAAAAAACAAGAGAAGTTTCTGATTCTCCAGATTAAAAAAAAAGAAAGTCAGTGTTCAGAGGAAGGAGTAAAAACAAACAAAAAACAATCCAAGCATTTTGCACGTCTGTGTAGCTTTGGCTGTATGCTTCGTGTCACGGTCTCGCTAGAAAACAAATCTTCTCCCAGGTTGCAGTTCTTCTGCAGATTGGATCAAGTTGTCCTCTATGATTAAATCACACTTTGCTGCTTTAACTTTACCCTCTATCTTCACAAGTCTTCCAGGGCCTGCTGCTGAGAAGCACCTCATGATGCTGCCACCACCATGCTTCACCGTGTTTGTGAAGATGTGCAGTGTTCAGAAAACATAGCGCTTACTCTGATGGACAAAAAGCTCAGTTCTGGCCTGACCAGACCAAAGAACCTTCTTCCAGTTGACTGAAGAGTCTCCCACATGACTTCTGGTGAAGTCTAGTCAAGATTAAATATTAGCTTTATTTCAACAGTGGCTTTCTTTTTTCACATGTCCACAGCGTTTCAAAAATGACTCTCACCACCAGATGGAGGAGACAAAGTTTTGCATGGCGGGCTTAAGGGAACATAAAACAAACAATAAAATTTGAACATTAAACCTCACAGGAAATAAAATCTTTTAATATTGGTTTCTATCAAATAAACTCCCAAACCATCATCATAACCACTGATAGCCTAAAATTGCAGTCTATAAAACATATAAAATGATAACCAAATACTCACTCGTTGCCAAGTGCTTCATGTTTTGGCTTCAAAAAACTAAAAATTTTTTTAAAAGCCCAGTCAGACACAACAAAACCCAAACATCGCAGCCAACACAACCAGAGCATGCCTCCCTTTTTCCGCTGGTGGTCGATATCTAATTAAAGCAGCAGACGTGTGTGTTGGTCTGTGTGCATACATAAGTGTGTGTGATTTATGGTGCGTTTCCTCCTCATTTCACTGTGAGGTTAATGCTACAGGCCACCGCAGCTGGTATCCCCAGGGTGTTTGTCAGTGACCCTTGCATGCACACACACACACACACACACACACACACACACACACACAGAGGGAGACTCAGAGATGTAGAGAAAGAAATAGAAATTTTCATGAATATTAAACAAAACCTCGCTGGCTGCAATTCATATCACGCAGTCAATTTCTGTTTTCTTCCCCTCTATCAGTAACAACCCTCATTTACTGCCAAAAGGCGCCATGTTTCCATCAACAGGAAAACTCTCATCTCTAAAAGTAGCCCAATATTTCCACTCCAGTTATCTTACTAGAAGTGTCACCCCCCGGGCACCGAAAAAAAAAAAAACTTTTTAAAAAATGCCAAGGAAATCAAAACTGGGGTCGATCACTTTGTGCAGTGACTCTGTTAAGAAAACAGAGCTCAAGATCTCTCACACACACACACATATATAAATGTCTTTTTGCTGAACAGGGATAAACAATGAAATTGCACCAGTGCCTGAGGTTGATATGGAAGCAGGAAGGGAGCGGTGACATTTTGTTCAAAGCTGTGTCTGCTTTCACGTTCTCATTTGTAGCTCCTCGCTCCTCCTCAGCCACCTCCTCTCCTCTTCCATCTCTATGTTTCTCATATCCGGGTTCCCCTTTCTAGGGCCTCTCAATCTTATTAACACTTATGAATTCATCTCTCTTCTCTTTCTTCATCCCTACCTCATACAGTCCCCTTCCTATTTCATTATTACTGTGTGTGCCTCTCTGATTGAGCTCTGTTTGAGCTCTTTTCTCTGCTTATTGTAAACCAATATGTGGTGGTGGGGGGGGGGATGCAGGGGCTTTGATGGGGCACTGTCAACCCCCTACATCCCAACACGTCTGGTAGGAAAACAGAAACACAAGGCCATCTGTCCTGAAAATACCCCACACACCCATATCCATCATGCTCTCATTGACCAGCATCGACCAACACGTTGGCTGGAACCTGACGAGCTGTTCAAAGCATAAAAACACACAACAAGCAGATGGAAAAACGGTGGAGTTGAATAGCAAAACCCTCTTAGTGGGTGTTTATGTTTTGTCTTTGGGATGTGGAGACCACATGCCTACCTGCAAGCACCCCACACACATAGACCAGTCCAATCCTCAGGGCGCCGTGGACCATTTCTAGGGGAACTCCCACCAGCAGCTGCATGGCCATGTTCAGGCTCAGGTGTTCGATCCTGCAAGGTGAATTTATACACACACAGAAAAAAAAAGAAAATCATAGTCATAGGACGTACAATAATAGTCTAGAATGCAATCAAAAACAAAGCTGTTCCATCAAAGTGACAATACGAAAGGTCGCCACAGACACAGTGACCTTTAAACAGTCGTAAGAAGTGACATGATGTCAGCTGCAGCGACTGTCATGGTATTCTTGTTTTCTTATCTGGGCTTTGATAAGAGTTTGAAACGAAATGCCAGGTGCAATACTTGGTTTGGAGTGTGCTTATAATAATTTACCAATATATCTTTCCAGAGGTATTGTTCCACGTGCTCTAAATAACCCATGCAGTGACATTTTGTTCAGTGGAGCTGGTTTTAACTCAGGAAACAGTCTCGATAAAAACCCTGGACATGATGTGCTAATCAGAGTTATCGGGATTTCAGAAAGGACACGTTGCTCCACACATGTTTAGACGCATGTTTTTTTAGAACTGTGAGCATCCATCCATCCCTCATCCATCCATCCATCCACCCATCCATCCATCCATCCATCCATCCATCCATCCATCCATCCATCTATCCATCTATCCATCCATCCACCCACCCATCCACCCATCTATCCATCCATCCACCCACCCATCCACCCATCCACCCACGCATCCACCCATCCACCCACCCACCAATCCATCCATCCACCCATCTACCCATCCATCCATCCAGCTACCCACCCATCCACCCACCTATCCACCCATCCATCCATCGTCCATCCATCCATCCATCCATCCATCCATCCATCCATCTATCCATCCATTCATCCACCCACCCATCCACCCACGCATCCACCCATCCACCCACCCATCAATCCATCCATCCATCCATCCATCCATCCATCCATCCATCCATCCATCCATCCATCCACCCATCCATCCATCCAGCTACCCACCCATCCACCCACCAATCCACCTATCCATCCATCCATCCATCCTGCAAATAAGACATTTTCTAAGTGTCTCTACTTCTAGCCATGGTTGTGCTGTTTTCAAACTTTATTATTTAACACCCAGGACTGCTCGGGGTTCAGAGGGTAAACGTCAAATCATGAGTTCTGAGCGATCAAGGTGACATTCAAAGGCAACAAATCTTCACACGTGGCCAGCTGGAGCTAACAAATATTTGCCGTTATCACTTAATCACGTAATCATCACTCATCAAAACTGTTTGCTGGAGATTTTTTTGTGTTCATTATCAATTAATGGAATCAACGTATGTCTGTAGGACTTAAAAAACACTTCCGTATGTGTATGAAAAGAAAGATGGAGGAAGAAATTGGGATTTGATAAGCCTGCATAGTTCTCCGCTGAGGGTTTTCGTTTTGGAGGCAATATCTACTCAGCTTGTGATTTGAGAACTGGGAAGGATCTGTGTTGCTGAGCTGGTGACAGGATTTCACAGTTTGTGTGGCGTGTGTGCAGCGACTGAGATGTCTCAGAAATAACAACTAAATTCTTAACTGCGCTGTTTAGTCAAATGTTTTGCAGCTTTCAAACACTGCATGATGAACTAAACCCACCCATAGTGACTTCTGTGTTTGTCTACAGAGACGTCACATTTCTCCAATCATGATTCAATCCATGAGGCGTGTATTAAGATTTGTACCCCAGCTTGCAATCAGAAGTACTTGAACATGACTTGTTTCCCTGCCAGCAAGATGCTCCGAACGTGAAGACCTGGATGTCACAATAAACTCCGTAAAGGCAGCACGTTTCCATTTCCTCCTGTGGGTGTCTGCTGATTGACAGGAGACACACTGAACTACGGCACCATACGATAATAAAACAGAAACTGTGACAAAATCAAATTCTGGGTTTATGTTTGCTGGGATGGAAGTTGTTTTCCACCCTGTGAAAGAGTGAATAAGAGCTCCTTGAAGTAGGAGAAGGAAAACAAGATTCAGCAAATGATAGAGATGGTGCACTGATACAAAGGAAAAGGGCAGCTTGATGACTATCACAAGAAAAAAGGAAACACTATAATCTTTTGAGAAACGCATTAGCAGAGAGAAGTATTTTGGAAAAAAAGTCACTTTCATTACATGCCGCTAATGTTAAAAGTACCCAGAATGCAGTGAGTGGCTCCACGATCATGTTATTATCATGTTTGCTAACAGAAATCAACCCCTTCATCAGACCACACTGTCGTTGCGGCCATAAACAAATACTCACATGCCAGCGCACTCAAACAAACACAGGCGAGAGTCACGCCACGCACAGATAGAAACGCACTCACGTGGCATAAAAAGACGAACAAAAAGAACGACAAAAACATAAAAGAGGTGTGCTGACAAATGTGCCCAAATCTGCTCACAGCATGTAGCGCAGTGCGATGACTGTAAACAAAGATTGGCTGGTTCACACACACACACACACACACACACTCATTCGTTGCGCCCTTCATGGCTGGAAAGTCCTTCCAGCCAAACCTCAGTCAGCAGCTCGGACAGCAGAATCCAAAAGGAGAGCAGCGAGCATAATGCCACCTCTCTGTCTCTCCCCCTCTCTCTTCCACTCTCTCATTCTCTTCAATCAGTTTCTCTTTTTAGATTCTGGCTCTGCTTTGTTGCGTCATCTCTGTTTTCAGAAAGAGTCACAGAATGACGACTTTTTCAGGAGTTTTTTTAGGCTCCTAAATTGATGGAGGGTTCCGGTTAAACAATCAGCTTTGACATCTTAGAAATAAACATTCCCAAAACAAACACGCACATTTCTTCCAGACATTAAAAAACAAAAAAAAAAAAAACAAGACAAGGCCAATAATCTATTTGGTTTGAAACAACCCAGCCACCTCAACTACAGTGTCGACACAGGGGATCGTTCCTGTGATCAGGGAGACAATGGGGCGTATTGATTGGCTGGGAGAAGCCTGTCCGAATGCACAAGGACAACTCCACTCCGGGTAACAGCGGCTATCTATTTCTACACTGCTAATGAGGCTGTGAGGAATGGGGCTGCGCTGTCAGGCAGATCTGTGGATGCCCATGAGAGGTCCTATTGTGTCCGGGTGACCATGGTCTTTCAGGGCACTCAACAAAAAGCACTCTTTTCCTCTTCGTCACCAAACTGCAGCTGAACTTTACTTTTAGCACTTCTTTGGACCGTCCTTGACGAGTTATCAAATGATTAAAAAAAAAAACCACATTAGGCGCTCAGTTTGTACAGTTACAGCGCCGCACGTTGTTTTGGCAGAAATCTTCCTTCATGATAATGAGAAAATGCAACTGGGCAGAAATCTCAGAGTCATGGTTTAATCTCGCTCGAAGCTAATCTTCCTGAAGTTTTCACAGCTGCTACAGACGTCGTGTTTTGTGTGTGAGCGAGAAAGGACGGAGAAAAAAAAAAGAGAGAATCTGCGTAATGCTCTGCTGAGGGATGTTTTGGGGCCAATATTTACATTCTGTTTCAGTGTTGGGAATGGAAAGGATCAGTGCTGCTGAGCTGTTGACGGGATTACATGGTTTGCAGATCCGTGTGAGACACACAGCAAAAGAGAGAGAGAGGAAGAGGGAGCGCATGTGAAATATGGAAACAGTGATATCAGTCGGTCGCAAAAGCTTCGTCAGCGTCACTTTTAATGTGAGCAGCGAATATTGTGTAGCGATACACAGCTAAGTACTGTCTGTCCTGGTGGATAAATGGATCAGTGTTGTTGGTTTTATTCCTGTCCTTGACCTTTGCTAAAGGAGAACTCGGCGTCAGTGTTTCCTGTCGGTGTAAAGTTAAGAGTGTCTCATTTGTGGCTGTCTGAAATGACGCAAATGCCTCCAAAACTCATAAAATCTGCTTTTTTTTGAGACACAATTTAACGCATAACCTTTGCTAATTGAATTCCCTTCCTTCTTTGTGCCATGACGCCAAAAGATCCAACGTGAATCAGTGAGCGAAGGTTTCTAATGCTTTAAACTCAGACAATATCATTGGCATAAAATCAGAGGGACTTCTACGAAAAAGAATTTGTAATATGCAGAAAAAAAAGTCCATCAAATGCACTCAATAGGGATCGCACAAAGCTCTGCAATATCTAATCGTCCAGTATTCTGAACTATCAGCAAACGCATCTGCACCACCTTCGCCGGACACGCGTTCCAAATACCGAATGGCAAGCAGCCCAAACCAGCAGCAAACGACCGCAAATCCACAGTGAATTAGATTTAATTTGTAACTGAACCCTGCTCTGTTTCAGCAACAGCGAGCAGTTAGTCACCGATGATGAGGCACATTAGAGCACAATGTAGGAGCATTAGCAGGACGATACAGATGCTCGACTGAATTACAGAATGGCAGCGATGTAAAAAAAAAAGTTAAAAAAATTAAAACAAGTAATTCCTCTCTTTTACAAAACGGCTCTCAAGGATTCTTTGTTCTGCATATAGAGGTCCTCATGAGGCTTTGCAGAATTGGTTTAAAATTCTCTTTATAATTTTGGGATTAGGAGTTTCTATGCGAGTAATCGATAGACCATTTCCACATGTTCTGACACATGTGTAGAGGAAGGTAATCTCTTCAGGCACTAGAAAATGTACTGCGTTACTTTAAAGCACAGAAAGACAACTATATTTCTGACTATATGAAGGTGAACCTGCTGTTAATCTTCCAAACTTAGGGCAACTAGGGTTTTCCTGTGTTATTAGATTCAGCCCCACATTCTGTTTTCTCGCCCCTGATAATCTGAATCGTTTCAGTATGTTCCTCTGCGATCAGTTGAACATCCCTCCCTCCTTTTATCAGTCCATCCTTTCTGGTTTAACTTCTCACCATTACACCGTCGGCCCTGACACTATCTCCCCCAGAACCTCCAGGTTCCCCTAAGTAAATTACCATTTTATTAGTTCTCTTTATTGCCTACGACTACATTTACCTAGAGGAGGTAATTAAACCTCGATGACCCGTCCTGAACTGATAATAAAATAGTCTCTCCTCACAGGAAAGGGGAGAAGACGAGCCGAGACGAGACGCAGGCTGAAGATGCAGCGGCGGGTTTTTTTATTAAATTATCTGTTAAGTTAATATTTAGAGTTTTCTTTCGGCGCAGAGGAGTGATTATGAAGACAAATGTTCCCTACACTCAAATATGACAGCATCATTCAAGTATATACACATTACACCAATAATCCAATAATCATCACTTGTTTGAGGACATAATTTCCCACAAGGTTATTTGGCCCTTGTTTATTTGTTAGATAACTTCCCCGACTCTCTGACTATCATTAAATGTCCCTTATTTCTGATCTGCTCAGTCTGTTTCACTGAAAAATAACTGCTGTGTATTTTTGTTGATGAAATTGTTATGTAACAAGCTCTGATTCACTTCAGTTTTTCAAATGCCATAAGCCCAAACCACCTAAGGCGTCACAGATATGCACCATCATTCCCACCCAATGATGCCACACACACACACACACACACACACACACACACACACACACACACACACACACAAACACTTAACTCATATCAAAAGACTGACATGAACAAACTGTGGTGGATAAATTCATGTCATGTAAAATCTGGATGTTGACAAGGTTATAAAAACACTCCTTAAAAGTGCACAATGCTCATAAATGCATGATGTGAACTCACCCAGTATGCATGAAGATGTAGCTGAGGTACCGCCAGGCCTGGGCTCGCAGCTGGGGGTGGTAGGGCAGGGGGCTCTTTAGGAAGGACGGGCTGGACACCTGCAGGACCAGGCGGTCCAGCTGGAGCCCATAGTACATGAACACGGCTACCTGGCAGAGCACAGAATTTTTAAAAAAGTGGTGATTTTAGGGAGTGAAGGTTTAAAAATACAGAAATTCAAATCAGTCGCTGTCATAATTAGATGAAAATTGAGCACAAGCTTTATATTTCATTTCTAATTTATCTGATATTGGCCCAAAAGTTATTCCTCCAAACTTACAAAATGTTTCATAAAATAAATATAGAAAAAATACAAGCACATAGTGGCTGGAAAGAACTCACATTGCACCACATTATAACAGCATTTTCTTGTTACTTATATTATTACTTGAAGGTACCCTGGGGAGTATTTCCATTCCCATAAAATATCTGCAGAACCAATTGTATTGTATACATATTGTATTATTTACATCTGCGTTCAAATTTACAGATGGCTGCCTTTTCTATGCTGCATTTCTTGCCGTGTCACGCCAGCTATTAGTTAAATAGCACGACACAGATCCTGACAGTGAGGAAAATGCCACATCACACTGGATAATTCTTCTTTGAGATGGGTGCCGTCTGGTGCTGCTGTCTGCAGTTCAAGGAACGTTTATTAGGTCAGTGTGTGTGTGCACACGTTTGTGGGTGCACGCGCATCTTTGTACAGAGACCTGCTCGTCAAAACATTGCTCCACCAGCTCGATAAACATATTAAAGCATACACTTAAAAAGCTTGGGTGGTTAGCTAGACGATCCCCGGTTTGCATCCCGGCTAGGACACTCGGGATCTTTCTACGTGGAGTTTCCATGTTCTCCCCATGCAGCGTGGGTTCTCTCCGGGTTCTCCGCTTCCTCCCACACAGTCCAGAAACACACTGAGGTTAATTGGTGATTCTAAATTGTCCATAGGTGTGAATGTGAGTGTGCTTGGTTGTCTGTCTCGAAGTGTAACTTAGTCGGCTGAGATAGACTCGAGCCCTCCAGAGGATTAAGCGGTGTATGGATGGATGGATGGATATGGATGGATGGATGGATGGATGGATGGATGGATGGACGGACGAACGGATAGATGGATGGATGGATGGACGGATGGATGGATGGATGGACGGATGGATGGATGGATGGATGGATGGACTTAAAGAGCTCATATTAGGCACATTTACAGGTTTCTAATTGTGTTTTTGGGGGTCTATTAGAATATATATTTATATGCTTTAATGGTCAAAAAGCAATGTTTTCTCATGCACACTGCTGCCTCTTCTCACCCTTCTTCTGTCTCTTTAAATCCCTACCGTCATTTCAAAGCCTTGTCAGACCAAATTGTGGCGAGCCTGATTATGTATTGTGACCCCAGTACAAAGATGTAGGCATTATGCAAATATACTACCTGGTGACATAGACAAGTGACAGAAGAAAAGAATGGACTTCAAATGAGGCATTTCAGGCAGAAATGGAACAATGTTTTCTGCAGGAGAGAATAACCTTTGGGCTTTGTAAGTCTGCAGGACTTTTGCATGCATGAGAAAGCAGACATATAACATACTAGAGGAAAGGAAAAACCAAAAAAAGCATAACGTATGAGCAGCTATTAGGCTCACACTGTCGACCTATTTACCTCAGCGATGGTGATAGCCAGGATGAACCAGGGAGGGGGACAGTACGTGTAGCTGTCGAAGTACCACTTGCGGTCGACCTCGCGGGGCAGCGTCTCGTAGGCGACGTGGCGGACCAAGCGCTGGGACAAACCCAAGCCCACCTCATCTCTGAGACTGCAGCCTTTCAGCTGCCGGCTCCCCTGCAGGATGGCCCTCCGAAAACTGTTGGAGCGCTTGTTGCTCATCTGGAGGAAGGAGGAGGGAAGCGAGAAAAGTGAAGAAGGGAGGAAGAGGGAGAAGAAGGAGTGGATGAGGGCAGAGAGAGGAGGGACAGTTTAGACGTCTTTACTGTTTTTAATGCATATACACTATAACATCCTTTTTACCTGCAAATCTATTGTTTCATTTTTACATTTTAGCTCAAGATACTTCATTTTTTAACGTGTATTCCTGAACTAATTCATGCACTGCTGGAGTCTCAACACACACACACTGGATACAGGCCACACACACACACATACCAAATCTTCTCAGTCCAGCACTCTGACACACCACTCCCACCTCGCTGTGGCAACAGAATCACTGAATCATCACCTAGCAACCACCATACCCTTCTCTTTATTCCTCCGAACGAAGTCTCGGGAATCAAGTTCATTTTCTCGCACATACGTACATTTGGCCACGGCCTCACAAGCTGTTATAATCACACAGAATCACCGAGTTAGTGAGACATTCAAGCTCTCATTTTAAAAGGTGCCGCCATGTATTTAGTTCCAGCGTAATCATTTTCCAAGCAACACTCTCCACGGCTGCTGCCGCTGCTGCTGCATTGATTTGTTCATTAACCCTCTGGAACCCAGAAGCTGCCACACCATTTATGAGAGCCCGAAACTGTAAAAACAGAAAGAGTTCTTGAATTCTGAACTCTCTGACAGACCCTGAACCACTCATCTGTTGGGAAACAACCAAATCTTGGGATATTTCATCAAAATCACTTCATTTTACGTTAAAAAAATAAACTTTGCTCGAAGTCGATTCTGTAAAAATACTCGATATTCTGCACTCCTTGACCCAACTGGGAAGCTATTAGTGACTCAACATGACAGAATTTCAGGGACTTTTTTTTTTTTGCCTCATCTGGGCTGAACTGCACTTTTATTCCTTTTCTAAAGTATTTATGGCATCTATGGCATTGCTGTACTGCACCAAAACACATTTTGATTTCTTTCTACGAGCCATGGTTGAGAGGTTTCCACAGACAAGCAGCACTTTATGTCACAGAAATAAAAAAAGGGCTCACATGTAATATGGCAGGAGGGAAAAAACACCTAAGAGCTATCTAAGAGGATTTTTTTGTAATAAACCAAACAATTCATTGATTAATTGAGAGAATAAGCACAGATTAACTGATGCAGACAGTCTTCGGTTGAACAAACATCCCACACCTCCAAACGCTCCACCGATAGGAGCTGAAGAACATTTTCCTTGTGTTAAAATTACACTTGAACCCACAGATCAAGGGGACGAGGTCGGCTGTTCACATAGAAACTCTGTGACTGAATCCCAGAAACGCGTCCTTGACTTTCAGATGCAGAAATAATGAGAGCAAACGCACCCTTCCCTCATCCCAAACTCGAGAACGTTTCATCATGCAGCGAAATTGCACCCCATCCAAATGAACGGCACAAAACCCACAATCAAAGAAAGATCACAAGCTTTATCGCATTCGGCGGTACATTTATCGCCTTTTGCAAACAGCTTCTCTTCGAGGGGCAACAACTCAGTGACAGCGCGACGAAGAGGTCGGAATGGTGAGAATTACAAGAAGGTGTTTCAGCTGCTTTCTCAGGAAGCAGATGATTGTTATAATCAGCAATTTGTGAACCCATTAAGCCTCACTGAC